CCGTTTTTAACATTTTACAACTCTTTAGCTGCTTCCTAACTTGAAGGTGTGGTCAAAAATGAAAAAAGTAACCTTCAAAAAAAAGTCTCAACGGAAATGAATAGAGATGACCACAGAGTAAATAATATGCAACATAGTAAAACGGGACAAAAAAAGCAGAAAACACTTGAAACGAAGAAATGAGGCAGCGTGAGTATTATGATTCAACAAACTGAGTTTTTGTTTTATCTCTGTTACATTGAGAAGCAGCAAAAGGTTTATAAAATGGCAAAATCAGAATTTTCTAGAGAATAGAAGCTCTATATAGACAAGTAAAAGTTTGAGATTAAATATGTATTCCTTAGCATACCATAAAAAGGCCAAGGAACTTGAGACTGCGCATAGAGGAATTGCAGAGGAGAAGCGGAGAGGATGGATCTGAACTCCTTCCAGATTCCTAGAATCATGGTTGCGAAGTGACTGTCCTATCCATGTCACAGCAAGTTCTGTCATGATAGAGTATCGTTATGAAATAGCAAAAGAATTAATGCAACATTTTATAATTGTAGAGTTAGGAAGTTAGGAAAAGCTGCACAGACAAATTTGAAACTACCATTAATGAAGTGGGAGGTGTCGAGAACCACGTATACAAAAAGTTAAATTGATGAAAAAAAACTCTGGGAGTGGGTACGTTTGATTGCAATAACGCCAAAACCATAAGTTCCACAACAATGGAAAATATTGCCCTCTTCCCTGATTCCTGCCTTAACAGGTGTTCCCAGCTCAAAACTAGCCTCTGAATTATTATCACAAACAAAAACAGCGCAAAAAATTGCTTTTACAAAGCGAAAAGGCACTACCCTCAGCTAACAGACTGGCGCATTGATCCAACATCATCAAACTACTTTTAACCATTAAACTAATCAAAAATAAATGTCAACGAATAAGCAAAGCTAGATGCTAGTAAGAGAAAAAACACACTTGCTTTACCTTTCTGCATATCTAGAACGCCCTTTCACGAGCAGAATACGCAAAAAAATTTACATACACGTACTTCTAGAGGATAAAAGAAAATAACAAAAAAAAAAAA